GGCACTGGGATCGCCTGCTCCAGACCGATAACATCAGGAGGTCTCGTTCCTGACAAATCAATCGTAGTGAGTTTCGACCCTTGGTCTCCTGGTCAGAAAGTGAACGTTCTAACCACTCGGCCACGCATACGTAGATACACAGATACATATACATATATATGTTTCGTCATAGGAAATAAATACATAACCGTCCTTGGTATGACGATAAACTACATCCGCGTCCAGGGTAAGACGATAAACTACGTCCAACAGCAAGGCTTCTGATCATGTTCTGAGGAGCGTGGAACCACCTCTTAATTGCTGGCGTTCCCAGATCCACTCTGGCCCGGGGTGGTAGTACCCGTTAGGGTCCCAGCTATGGGCAAATTGTTAACCCCGAAACTGAGGTAAAAAGCATTATGAAAGTGTAAAAAATAGATTTTAATATCAGAAATTTTTGAAGAAAAACTATTACCCGAAATATATTTTTGAAAAAAAAATATTACCAGATATACAGTTTTAAGGAAAAAAAAATGTTACCACAAATAGATTTTTGACAAAACAAAATATTATGAAGAAAAAAAATTGTCGGCATTAAATAACCCATTGAAGTTGATATGCCGTAAAACAAAACAAAACAAACAAAAAATACGTACATATACATATATACATAAATCCCTATTGCAGGCAATCGCTCAGGCACATTTTTGTTTGTTCAACATCCACCTGTGGTTTATACTGCAATTATGCTGAGCGGACATTAGTTACGCTTTCTGGGAGAGAGTGTGTTATCTAGCGTGATCAACGATCTGAACAAGGTCAGCACGCTGAAGTCCTCGGTCACGATGACTTGTGACTTCGTGCTAGCACAGCTATCCGTCTACCCAATTTCACTTACCAGGCTTGGGTCAACCCGCGGTATTGTTTTCAGGCGCTGGGATCGCCCATTTTAGACCGATAACATCAGGAAGTCTCCTTCCTGACAAACCAAATATAAAAGTTTCGCCATAGGAAAAAATTCCAACAGACATAGCATTATTTCAAACCCCACACTCTAAGTGTTGCCACAGGAACAAATTTCAACTAACATATTATCAGCCGAACCTTGCACTCCTCTCTTTCATTTATATTTTTATATGGGATTTTTTTCTATTGTGACATCTTCCCTATATGTAAATTTTTTTTTCTATATGTGAACGTGATTTCGAGATATGGAATTTCCTTTTATATCGAAATATTTCCCTCCATGTTACATGTTTTCTATATGTGGAATTTTCTTCTGTATTTAATTGTTTTGATAATACTAAATCTTTTTTATGTATTAAATGTAAATTTAATCCTTTAGAGAATTTTTAAATAATTAGTATAAGTATAATATAATTTAAATTATAAACTTAGTATTTGAAAATTTATTAATATTATATTATAATGAAACTGATTATATTTAAATGAAATAAATATATTAATAATTTTCTTAAATTTTTTTTACTGTAAATTTTTCTATATAAAGCTGTAGTATTGAATGGATTAATATTAACATCTTTTATAAAAGTATTAATTTTAAATTCTTACTCCCATTCTATAATAATTTTAAGGTCCTCTCTAAAATGTTTTATGAGCTTTTTTTTTCATTCTTCTTCCTTGCTCAGGTGTTCATAGGTAACATTTATGTCAGTGTCCATTTTCAACGGTCGCGTTTATCTGTACCGGACTCCACCACAACCACCTTAGGACCCTTACCTCTCTATATCCACATAATTCCCTCTTGTATTATAGGCAAATTCTTACGCCCTTTCCTTTTATTCTTCCTTTTTTTTCCTTCCTTTCTTACTTTGCCTTTCAAATTTCCTGTGAAGAAACGTGAGATTTTATTCATTTTAGTAAACATATTTGCATTGATAAGTCTAGGGGAAAAAAAACCTACTTTCCCATGGACAAAATAATCATCTGTATGAGGTAAATTGTTTGAATCTCATTAATTGTAATTAACACATACACAGGTGCGCGCACACACACATATACATATAATTGTGTAATTAGGCAGCAGTCCCTTATTTATTTATACATATTTCATTAAAGATAACAGAGAAGGTACTGCGATTAAGCTTTTTATTCAATTTTTTAGTGTTCGAAATAAAATCATCCTTGATAATGGCTAAAAGTATATCCGAAAGCACTTGAAATTACAGAAGATTTGAACAGTTTCTACACACCCTGTGTCTAGAAAAGAAAACACTTGTTCGAACACAAGAAAAATTAAAATAATAAAAAACTTAATCTCAGTACCCTTGTCTGTCGTCTTCAATGAAAAAATATATATATATATATATATATATATATATATATGTATGTATGAGTGTGTGTGTGTGTGTATAAATTGGGATCAAATATTTTCGGAATGCCACAAATTTTACTAACATTTGCTTAACAAGTCAAATGCTCGTGAAACCTGATTAATCAATGAAAATCAAACAACACAAATCTGACGATACTTTAATAAAAAAGTGAAACATGTTAGATTGATAAACGCTTCCTATTTGTTCCTTACCGTATCATATATATATATATATATATATATATATATATATATATATATATATATATATATATATATATGTCGCATCATTTAAAAGAACATTTTTTACTTTTCTTTCTGACTACCTTTATTGTAAACTATTGTTAATTTTAGACGATAACGCATGGCTGGAAGCCACTAGCACGCAAGGAGTTACAGAGAGCTGGAGTGAGACCAAATATGAGTGATAGAGGAAAAGATGAAGAGAGGGATAGTGGATAGATCAAGGCATCTGGAGACGTCGATTGACATTACATTTGAATAATTGGAGATTATAGCTATCAGAGAAACAGGAAAAGGATAGGGAGTTCCACATGCGAGAGGTGCGAGACATGAAACTATTGAAGTAGAAGAGACGGCTACATTTAACAGTTTCGACAGTGAAAGGGTGTGAGCGAGATGCCAGCCTAGTTGAACGATTAAATTCATGAAGTCTGGGAACCAGCGAAAACAGCTCATCGGAGCAGTTACCGTGAAAGTATTTGTAAAAAAGACAGAGGAAGGCGACGGCACGTCTGTGAGAGAGCGATTGCAGACGAGATGCCAGATCAGGGCCAGTTTATAACAATTATTTTTACTTTTTGCTTTGTTTGTTGTCTCTTTCTTCTACCTTTAGTTTTACTGTTTAGAAACGTGTTTGTTTACTCATCTATTTGCATTCATATATATATATATATATATATATATATATATATATATATATATATATATATATATATATTATTTTTAGTTATTTATCTACTTATTTGCACATTTGCAAGTTCAATATATAGCTTTCATTTTATTTTATTTTACCTGATCTTGCTTTATTATGGGATATTTTAATATTTTATTATTATTGTTATCACTACTTTTATTATTATTATTGTTATCACGACTTTTTAGCTTTTTTTAGGAATATTAATATTGATAATATTACTATTAATTATTCTATTGGTTCCCGGAAAAAATAGAGTTACTTCCCTTGATTTTATAACAGCACCTCTAATTGTTAAACCAACGTCTCTCTAAATAAGATTTTATATTTCTTATTTCCAACCTTATTTTCTATGTTGATCTGGGCCGAAGTTAAAAGTGAAAGCCAACAATTTAACGCGGTTTATTTGCTCTTATTTCATTTTAATTTATTTTTCTTATTTTACTTAACTTTAAAATCTTTTCTGTTAACATTATTTTTACTGCACTTTATTTTATTTTTAAATATTTTCTATTATCATTATTTTTACTAGCACTTTATTTTATTTTGCTTTATTTTATTTTTAAATATTTTCTATTATTATTTTTACTAACACTTTATTTTATTTTGCTTTATTTTATTTTATATTATTTTGTATTACTGCATATTATTTTTAGTTTTAGTTAAGTAGTATTATTGTCAATAACTTACTTTTCTTTTTTGAAAAAGAACAGAGTTGCGTCCCTTGATTTTCCAACCTCCCCTTTTTTGTTTACTTACATTTTCAAAATCAGCGTCTCTTTTAATTTAGAATTTATATTTCTCATTTCAAATCATATTTTCAATCTTAAATTTGAATCTGAGCTTAAATTCCAATTCAAAATTAAACTACAATCCATTTAAATATTTTCACTGCAATAATATTCCACCCCAACAATAATATATCTTGTGTGAACCCAAAAATTAAGAAAAAAAATTTCCTGTAGAAAAAGACAATATGTATAAAGGAAAAAAAAGACAATAGGAAAATTGTAGTTTTAGCCGACGCATTTCGTTCAATGCGGACTTCTTCAAGGCAAAACAGGAAATGAATTTATTGCAACAAAGTATCGATAAACAGCAAACAAAATGTCGTTAGCAAGTAGAAGAATTTAGAAAGGCTACTGTATATTTTACGTCAATTACTTTCTGTTTGAAGAGAATATTTTCACGTGTAGAAATATTTTTTGTATTGGTGTGAAGACAGATTCAACCGTTTTTATTTTATTTCTTGATATATATTTGTGTAAGTTAGCTTGGGAGAGTAGTGATTCTGTTAGAAAAGGTGAGATAGGGAAGAAACATGGGTGTATATATATATTTGGATAATATTCAATGGATATATATTTGGATAATATTCATTTGATCTAAGTTTTCGGCAACTATGAGCCATCTTCAGAGCAGTTATATGGACATTTAAACAAAGATATTCATCATCAATATTTGATCAAGGATCAAGTTTAGATCCCTGAATAGCATAATAAAAAATTATTCAAATGTTGCACAATTTTTGTCTTTATTTTCTCCAGAAATTAAAGCAACCGAACGAAGTTTAGAATGGCTCAGGATCAAACATAACAGACATTCGTTGTCTGTTATATCTAACAATATATGCTTGAATAATGATCTGTTGCCACAGTACAATATATATATATATATATATATATATATATATCGAAAACAGTGATTACATGGAAACGTCACCTATTTGTAATTTCCTATTCTTTTATCGTGTCTTTAATTTAGGCGATCGTTATCACACCGACCATATATATATATATATATATATATATATATATATATATATATATATATATATATATATATATATATCCTTAGTAATGGAGTATATATATATATATATATATATATACACAACAGCCTTAGTAAACTACATGAACTTCGAGAAGAGGAATGCAATACGAACTTCCACCTTTTAAAATTGATGGAATCAATATATATATATACATATATATATATATCAACCTTAGCAAACTACATGATTTTCGAGAAGACGGATGTAATACGTACCTCCGCTGGCAGAAAGCGTTTAAAATTGATGTAAGCAATGTATATATATATATATATATATATATATTTAGCAATGGATCGTGCATATATATATATATATATATATATATATATATATATATATATATATATATAGATACCAACCTTAGTAAACTACATGATCTTCAGTAGACGAATCTAATACGTACCTTCGTCGGCAGAACGCGTTTAAAATTGATGGAAGCAAGATACCAACCTTTAATAATATCAATTATGAACATGGCCGCAATGTACATGGTCGTTCATGCCCTGAAGGGACACGACACAGCGAAGAAGGAAAAGAAGACCCATTCTGAATATAAGGAAACATTTTAAAGTAGTGACCACTTTTAAACCTACAGAAACAAATAAATATGTTGCAAAGGTAGAAACGATAAAATGGCGTAGATATTAAATTTCAACATGTCCGTCTCGTCTGCAAACTCCAATCGCAAAAACCTAAGAAGGCGGCCGGTCAAAATGATGATATTAATTTATAGTAAGCGAATCAAAATGATTTCAAGTTATTGAGAAAATATTATTCCGCTCGTAATGAATAATAATTAAGTTTCTATCTTTTTATCTCCTGAATTTCGACGTTTGTTATCTATGTGTAAGCCGATCGAATTGACTTCGTATCTATCTCGTCATCAGTAATCTCCAGAAAGGCTATAATGTTTGATCGATCTTTCTGATACCATTCAAATATCTTTGAAATAAGCATCACTTGTTCATTCATTTATTTGCCAGAAATGCGTGACATCTATCAACAATATGCATCTGTGCGTGACAGATGCAGTACAGTTCTCGGCTTGGCCCAGAGGACTGACCCAGAGCCATGCGTCATTCCAAAATCTTCATTCCGAAATACAGCAAACATGCTGGGTCGGTGAGTACTATCCCAGGACTCTCCCCCATTGGGTTGAATCCAAGCCTGTTTGGTGGCACCACGCAGTGACCCTCGCGATGTTATCAACATTTTCTTTTTCTACTTACATTTATATACGCTACAAATTAATAACTACTAGCAGCATGACCCGGCGTTGCCCGGGATTGATTCAAAAATCATATCACTCATACAGCAATCGCTATCACTAGACTTAAAATATTTTTGCCTTTCCTTGCCTTTAAAGGAGTGCCCTTTGCCGTGCTGATGTTGATACATGCCTTACTTCTTGTCTATCTTACACTGCGAATTTTTTCTAAGTTCTATACTAAACATTAAATCTGTTACAAAAAAAGAACTAAACAAAATGAACACAAAACGATCAGCTTTAAAAAAGGACTCGTAACTAGAAAAACCGAATGAAAAAAGAATGTTAACAACAAATACTTTTTCACACCCAACCCAGTTCTACGGAATCAGAATCAGCGTTGAGTTTAAGCAAGCGAATGAGCCAATTGGAGTAAAGTGCCATGCAGATTTAAATTTTTCCCACTTGTGACGAATGCAAATATCGAATTTTTTTTGCATGCTAGCATGCTAGTTAACATTCGAGTCAGTCAGCTGT